CACTGTACCACACCAAGGTCACTGTACTTTTTAGACGCTATTCATTCATGAAACTATTTTTAAAGTGAATCTCAACAAACACATTGTCACAAGTTTTGAAAAATAATATACTAAAAATAACCTAGGTACTAATTACAATTCTAAATTTTCGTTACATTAATGGCTGTACAATGTGCCTCAAAAATTAGGCAAAATTAAAAAAATACCTTTGCTTTTTGTTAGACTGTCGCTTATGAAATATCGAGCCTTTAAAAATTTAAAAGAACAAACTACTTTGAACAGGGACAACAGGGCTGAACAAAAAACAAAAATTAAAAGTAAGCTTGTTTTTATTAAATCAGAATCAAAAAGCAAAATCTAATTTAAATAAACTAGACAAAACAGGTACTTGTTTAAAAATTTGACAGTTCCCTAACAAAAAGTCGTGACGCAGATACTTACTAATGAACAAATTGAAATTGACTAAAACATCGTAAAACTTGAAACCTAAATCTCACAAACATTATGAAACTGTAATCCCCTAGGTCAATGTGATTTAACGTAATTAAATGCAGGAATTATATTTTAAATATTATGGGTAGTGTAATTGTGTGTATCATCAGTAATCGATTACATATACATATTATTTCATTATTACATCTCCCTACTCTATTATAACGTTTAAAAAGCTTGTTCACAATTTTCCATTCATAGTTGTGTTATAATAATGTATTAGTTTCATGTATGATATCAGTATTTATCGATCAGTCATTATTTCCTCAGTATACAGGGTGATTTTGTTTTATCAAACTTTAGGAACACATAAAGTCAAACAAATATTTATTCAGAAAATGCTTACTTTTTAAGATATGAAGTGCTACTCTCCTTAAATTGTCAAATATTTTCCATTTTCAATTGTTGAAATAAAAAAAAAATGTTTTTGCAGTTTTTAAATGTATTTAAATTTTTTTAATTTTATCGATATCCACAGAAGGGTAGCGATGCCTTTATAAAAAAAAGATAAAGAAGTCAGAGGTTACTCTTTTGCATTTCAAAACTTGTTCTTTACAATAATAAAGCCCTTTCGATTTTATCATAAATCTAACCATTTTTAAATAAAAACGTTTCATGGTCAATTTTAATTTTATGGATGATCCACTAGCAAATAACATAGAAAGGGTGTAATTTAGGCGCATGTCTGAAAAAAATCAAGTAAAGTAACACCTAACATGCATAGGACACCCTATATAATAGAAAATAAACTTAAACAACCCATATCGCTAAACTCCTAAAACTTTTTGTATAATTTACCCGTTGTTGTTTGATAAAAAACTCATCTGCCCTGTATTTATGTTATTCGGCCGTTTTTTTTTAAGTATTTTAGAATGACAACTTGGCTTTTTTGAGATTTTCTTTTGTCTAGGCAGATTCATCAGCTCATAAAATTCAGTTTAAATTTTATTGTAACAACTACGAATGGAATGAATCGTTTGACAAAGTTGGAAATTCTTAGTAAATATACTGTAGCTTTTAAGGTGTACACCATTAGTATCGCTTGAACTTGAAGATATACAGGGATGGTTAAATTGAAAAAACTCGTCATGCCATTTCCGATTACGAAAAGAAATTAGAAGAAAGTTGCATCGTTCCTGAGATAAGCTGAAAAAACTTGGCTTTTCTTATTTCTTTCATATCTTTTTTATTACTCAAAGTAGAGTAATGAAACTCGGTATGCTTATCTATAGCACTTATTTACAACTTTTTTGTAATTTACCAACCCTGTATATTCCTTTCCCATTTTTACTTAAAACGAGTTTTACATTCACCAATTTTTTAATCAATAAATTAAATTGTTCAAGGAATCTGTCAAAAAAGTATCACAATTTGCTTTATTTGTGGCATTTTTTCATATTTCAATAAATTGGCCAATTTCATTGTCAAATTTAATGCTACCAACTTTTAAAATAAAAATCAATCAGTGATGGCCCGTGAAAGTTAAAATGGCGACTTTTTGATAAAAAAGCCTAGGATCCATACTGTTAAGACATATTATACGATATGTTATAACGACATAATTTACAGCAAAATTCGCCGGAATAAAAAATTAAAGTGGGGGTGTCAATGCTGTCTCGAAGTGTTGCATATACAATTGCAAAATATATTTTTCTATAAACAGCCGACAGATATAATCAGATTTTTTTATTCTTTGCAAAAATCTGTTTAAATTTTGATTTGATACTAACATTCTATTTTTCAAACCTTATGCTGTAATATTTTGCAAATATGTGTGCCACCTTTTCTGAGAACTTACAATTAGCCACCCCTATTTTTTTATTTCGTTTGAAATTTTTTCATCACAGAAGGGGGTCTAAAAATCATTCTCTAAAAAACGGTATGGGATCTAGGCTTTGTTATCAAAATATGACTAGTTAATCAATTTATGATTTACTAGCGATAATACTAGAGTAAAAGCATATTAAACCAGTGCTAGTGTATATAGCTCTATATTTATATTAAGAAGTAAAGCCACTTTACAATTTTGACGAAAGATTTTTAGATAAATGGTTTGAACAATACTTTATTATGCGAAGAATAAAGGAAAATAGTTTTAGGTGGAGGAAAAATTGGGAACGAGTTTTGTCGAAGTGGAGCGCAACCACTTGCAGCACGCTACAGGAGTGCTTATTGTAACTCGTAAGAACACACACGTTTGCTATTATAGAGGTCAGATTGAGCCTCAGATTAAACCGAAAAGAGGATGAAGAAAATGTCAATATAGAAGGCCAATTATATGGTGCAGGCATTGCTTATTAAAGGTGTACATATAACAAATTTCTTGTGTTGAATGACAAAAAAAATTTAAGAACATTTTTCGAAAACAATTTTTTTATAAGTGGTCGGAAACGTAATTCAAAAAATTTTCAATGAATTAACTTGAAATTTTGTACAGAGCTTCACAATAACATAACTCAGGGAACGCCATTGTTATTAGCAATCCCACGCAGAATTTTTCATCTTTTTTCTATACTTTTTTGAATGTTCACTAAAGCAGCAATTATTAATATTTTTTAATTTCCATAAGATGTTTCCAAGCTTTTAATGTGCAATATTAAACAATGTTTTGTTTTTTTTGTTCCAAGACCACCCGTTAAAAAGGTGTCGTTGCTTGCCATCACCTACAGCTGCCATTTTAAAACCAAATTTGCTTTGAAAAAAATTGACAAAACTACCTGAAAACATGTACAATAAGGCCCTGACACTATACCTTGTATCGTTTTTCCTTGAAAATTCCCAAGAATCACCCTATTTTTCCAACCGCTAGTGGTGTTACCCCTTAAATTCAAGTCTCAAAATTCTAGATTGTATCTAAAATTGAATAAAGTTAGATAACATTCCCAAAGAAGACTAATTTAATTTAATCATTTGGCTTGGCCCATTAATTGAAACTGAGAAACTTATCACAATTTTTGTACTACACAGAGCCATTTATTATATTTTGACTTATGGTTTTCTTGTTTATTGTTTAAGAAAAATAATGATACAAATGTGGCACTTATTCCTGAAAAATCTACAAGTTAATATGAAACAGCTTATAATGACTTCAGAAACCTTAAGATTTGATGGATAGACCCATTAAATCTTATCACCATTATCCTGAAGAAGCGAAGAATATATGTATATTCTAAAGGAACGTGTAAAAATACACAAAGGTGTTTCCCTTAAAACAATTATACGTCTGGACCATGTTTTTAATGTAAATACTATTATTTTTGTTAAAAAATCAAGAAATATTCTTTAAGAATACAGAGAAAACCTTCTAGTCAAAATATAACAGATGAATCTGTACCAATTCAACTTGATCAATTTATTGAGCAACATACAGTGAGCGGCAAAAGTATGGAATTTAAAGTATTTATTTAAAAATCAGGTGTTCGTTATTTGAAAAATTGCTCGGACCCGTTGAATTATATTTTTAGTTGCGCATTTTCTGAAGCAATTTTCATTTATACAGGGTGGCCCAAAAAAAAGTTATGAAATCCAGGCCAACTTTTTTAAATCGAAATTTTCTATTTTTATTCAATTCTCCATGGAATTCTGATCATTTTTTATGTATTATAACCTATACCTATCTTTAACCGTTTTCGAGATAATGGCGTTTGAATATAGAATAAGGAAAATTTTCAAAAATTACCCTGCTGGTTTTAAAAGAAAACCACGTTTACTTTTCCATCTTAGATTTGTGTGGTTCACAGAAAGTTGCTTCAAATCAGAAAAATCCATAAGAAATAAGTGGTTTGGTTCTTAAAATTTGCAAAATAACCTGGCTGTAATTTAAATAGTGACATTTAACAAAATCATATTTTATACAATAAAATTATACGTTTTTAATTAAATTATACCTAAATACGTCACTTATATTTTTTACATTCAAGTCATTGCATCCTAATGATCAAAATAAATTGCCGAACCACTTATTTCTTATGGATTTTCTGATTTGAAGCAACTTTCTGTGAACCACATAAATCTAAGATGGAAAAATAAACGTGGTTTTATTTTAAAATCAGCAGTGTAAATCTCAGGGTAATTTTTGAAAATTTTCCATATTCTATATTCAGACGCCATTATCTCGAAAACGGTTAAAGATAGGTAGAGTTATGTTACATAAAAAATGATCAGAATTCCATGGAGAATTCAATAAAAATACAAAAAAGTGGGGTTTCCATTTAAAAAAGTTGGCCTTGATTTCATAACTTTTTTTGGGCCACCATGTATAAATGAAAATTGCTTCAGAAAATGCGCAACTAAAAATATAATTCGACAGGTCCGAGCTATTTTTCAAATAACAAACATCTGATTTTTAAATAAATATATTCCATACTTTTGCCGCTCACTGTATAAATAAAATAAAATGAGTTTTTGTGCAAAATTACGTGATTTCTTATAATTATCTTTTTAAATAATAATTGTTATTTTTGCAAAGAGATTTAATACATTGATCTATGTAAATGAAATCAATTAAGTATGTTATTTTCTCTTTATTGAATTTCCAACCTGTCTATTGACACAAAAACTGTTCTCTTAAATGATAACTGAACCAAAACAACCAAATAGCATAATTATGAAAAAATAAAAAATTAACAAAATTTCAACTGTACAAATCACATCTAATTGCTATTCATCGATCCTGGTGCTAAAATATATAAATTCACATTCATTTTGGAGTACTTATATACTGAAAAAGATTATCTGGTTACTGACCATTTCAAATAGTAAAACAGTACATCAAATCACATTTATTATTAAATTTTTTGAATAGGGTATGTGCTACAATTAATTAGGCTAATGGTAGTGAGAAATATTAGAAATTGAGGTAATTAACTATAGGTTAGGCTTTGAGGAATCCCGTTCACAGTCTTGGATTTTAGAACATCATTTTCATACGTCATCACTGTTTCCTTCCCATTTTCATATACCCTAAAAACATCACAATATCATCAATTTTATTGCTTTATCAATAGTAGCATTCCTTAAATAGTTCTTTTTTATATAGGACGGAGTAGTGCAGGACAGAGCTCATATGGGTTACCTGCTGCCTGCATTTCTATACAGGGTGTGGCATGTATAATCTATAAAAATTAAACTACAGCTTCCTGATGATATTTGTAATAGAAAAGTCTTATACGAAAAAGTTCTATCCTCGCGTTTTTTTTTGTAAATTAAAGTTTATTTATTAAACAAAAATGAAGGCCGACCCTGTGTTATTTATTAAAAACTTTGGAAATGTTTTTTAGCAACCCGAGGCGCAACCATATAAAAATCAGTATAATCTAATACTAGTAATACTAAAAGAAGGTTAGGTTACATTGTCAAAAAATTTGTGCAGTCAACTGATTTTGTATTTGTATTGAATTAATTATTCACTTAATTATTAAATATTAAGCATCGTCTATCGATCCATCAGTGTTAAAAAGTGAAAGATTCCAGACAAAAGATTTATTTTGTTATTCCACAATAGTGATAGTGTAATTTTTATAAAGAAGTAAAAAATAAGAATAGCCTGCCGATTACATTAAAAGCAAGATTTTTATTTCTTACTTTGCTTAATTTTTTAGTTTTTGCACAAACTAGTTTTACAATAAACCGAGAAAACAATGCATTTACTATTTCCGAACATGTCGATATGGTGTTAGTGTATGGTGCAGCCGGAGAAAATGCGCTCGCGGCGACTAGGTTGTACCGGGAACGATGGCCACAACGTCACCCCCATGTGCAAATACAATCCTACAGTGCGTTCAGCGGCTGCGAGATACAGGAAGTGTTATTCCTCGATAAGGACGTGGTCAGCAAGTGAAACTTAATGTTGAAGTGTTGAAGATGCGTGTTGGAAAATCTTGGCGAAGACCCCACAATTAGTACTCGACGACTCGCACAGCAAGTAAGAACTTCATTTTGTATTGTACATCACATCTTAAAGCACCAGCTGTGGAAGAATTGCGAAATCGTATACTTGAAGCTGCTGACCCAAAAATTGAGAAGTATCTTTCTATCTTTCAAAGAGGATTTGTTTACGCGGCTGGTCTACAACACGTAACTCATCGTACAGCATACGAACAGGACCGTTCCAGAGAAAATATTTTGATCCATAATTGAACATTAATTTACAAAAAAAAAAAAAGTAAAAATAGAACTTTTTCATATAAGACATTTCTATTACAAATATCATTAGGAAGCTGCCTGTAGTTTAATTTTTATAGATTCTTTTTCGTTTGCACATTTCTGGGCTCAAGTGAAATTTGTCCAGTTGCACATCACTAAAAACACCTTCTGCATCATACTTATGTTAATGTATTTTAAGTTTCTGAAATGTTACCATGTGGAACGTGTTTTTAATGATGATATTTATTTACTTATTGTGAGATTCCAGTAAACCTCAAAACTAGTGAAAAAAAGCAAGGCTAAGCCATAAAAATTTAATCATTTATTATCTCTATTATAAATTAGTTACGGTTCCATATACGGTGTATTTAGATGAAAGACCACAAATGCTACTAGATAATTTTGAGCACAAAATATAATAACTGACCCAAATATACTTTGGTTCAAAGTTGCTTCAGTTGTAACTTGCGGGGTGTCTAAGTACAGAGCCTTGAGCGTTTATAAATGATTACAAGCCATGTCACCAGTAAATACGTTTTATGTTGGCAATAAAATTTCAGTAAAATTAAATATTATTATTAAGACGATAAGATCAAGTTTACATTAAAACACAACGTTCCGTTTCACTGACTTGTGATTGGTGTAATTTTTTATAAGGTTTTATTCAACCAATCAGAAAGTGTAGACGCAGATTGTAAATGAATTGTTAATATTGGAGACGCTAGGATTTAGGGATTTTTGCCTAACCCTGGCGGTCACATGGCTTGTAGTCATTTATGAAGGCTCTATATAAATTTTCACTTTTTAGAAGATCCTTTTAAAATTACAAAACAAATTAAAAAAACTCTGCAGTCTTCAGATTGATTATGAATATATATTCATGATTTCATACAGTATTTGTATAGTTCATTTTTTTATTAACAGAAAACAAACAATTTAGTTATTTTAATTTATTAATAATTGTAAGTTAATGTTGACAATAACAATTAAGGCTCAGTTTTATCATGACATACATAGTTTTTAGCAAAGCAGTTTATCTAATGAGAACAAGAAATTAAAAAAATCGATAAACTAGGAAAATATAAACAAATATGTACCATATGGTAGCTTTGATAAAGATTTTATCTAAATTCCAGTTCAAATTGTGGATAATATAATTATCATTGCAAACAGAACAAATCAGCTTGTATTTCAATATGTATTTAATCGATTCATTTATTCCACACGATTTCAAAATTTTATAATAAACAACTAAAACGGTATACTGTAAAAGTTGTCAGTATACAGGGTGCTTATTAAGTACTTGTACAAACTTTAAAGAGTGAATCTTTGAGTAATTTTAAGATAAAAAGTTCAAAAAAATATTTTATATTTACCTATAATTAACTTATTTGTAGAAGCAGTTTAGTTTTATTTTTGTAAATGATCTCAGTTTGTCACTGTATGTGGCGCCTTCTAACATTAAACAAAAATCTAAGTAAATGTTTGAGTTTCTCATCACCAATACTCCCAGTTTCCCGAATTTCGCCAAATTGCCATGTTATTGAACAAAAATATAATCAAAATACTCTGTATCTCAAGAACCAAGCCGCTGCCGACCCATGTTCATAAAAACTTTATACTTTAAAATTAGTCAAAGATTCACCCTTTAAAGTTTGTACAAATATTTAATAAACACCCTGTATAAATAACATTTTAGTTAAATCAATATAAATATCTGATAAATGATAGGTTTTCTGAAGCCTTAAAAAAATTTAACTTTACTTTTGAAGAATATGAAAATTTAACTCACTTCTTTGTAGTAATCTTCCTTCCATTGACGAACCTTGTTGAAGTAGATGTTCTTTTTATATTAGCGTTGCTAGGTGAAGCGGTATTAAACGAATTGTTTATGGTGCTAAATGACGTGAAACCTCCATGACCTGTACTGAAAAAATCATCCATTAAGCTGCCACCGATTGAAAGACCAAATGGACTAAATAATGAAGTGGTGCTTAGGGCATTCTGTGGATGAGAATGTCTGTTCCTTCTACGATCCCTGGGATGCAAATCTTAAACAGAACCAAAAATTAGTTGTAAAAGCATAAATAGATTTTTAAATCTAAAGAAGCTCCGTTACTATTAGGATTTTTTCAGTATATATTATATAGGTTGTCCTAATCGCAATGTTCTGTGTATATTTAACTATAGATTATTAAATCACTTCAAAACTAATCATTTCACAAAAAAATATATAACAATATTTTGTTCGAAATACCATTTTAAATACAATGTAACCATGAAAAGTCTGAAAGATTGCCATATAAATTTTTAATTACCAGTGCAGCTTGCAACCAAAAAAAATAATTTGTTTATTTATATTTAAAATTGTATTTCAAACAAAAGATTTTTTTATTATCTTTAAAAAATAAATAGTTTCAAAGTGTATGAAACTTATGGCTATGTGAAAGGCTTATTGTAAACTTTTTTAATTTTCTTTTTCTTCAAATTAAGCAGTTTCCGCTCTAGCAGGTATTGTATCGATGGAGATTAAAAATACAGCATTAAATTAAATTTTCTGTGTATTATAAACATACGCAAAATATAAATAATAAGAGAACTTTGTAGTTGTGCTATATTAAGGTACTGCAAAACTGGTGGACGGTAATAAAATTTTACCACCATCAACGATACAAAACTTAAACCCCTGACCTAAAGGAACAACTTTCTGAGGTTACGGCAGATTTAAAAATATTGTAGATCATATAGTAACCAAAGTGCATTGCGTTTATAGAAATGGGAAACATATTCCCTCTTTCTCGTATCTTTTTTGTAGATGATCTTATACACTTTTTTATTACAAAGATAAGAGTTGTTTCAAGTTTTATTTTTTATTCATCATCAAGGCATTTCCTATCCAAATTCAATTTAACTGTAATCAAAAGCTTGATTCATGTGACAACAAGAAAATAATGTAGTTTTGAAACTTATATCTGAATGTTTTCACAATAATATCACTGTAAATTAACAATATTTCCAAAAACGCATAATTCAGTAAAAAATTACCCATTTCAGATTTTTCTCATTCTCTAAATTGCATCAAATTTTAATCTCTAAGATGAATCATATTTTAGGAGCATTAGACTAAATAAATTTGATGAGAAAGTACTGTTTATGATTTGCAATAACTTTCGCAAGAATGTTTGATTAAAAGTTTCTGAACTTTATAAAACATTGTTTCATTATCAAATAAATCAATTTTTTTATGATAATTGCATCAAATTTGTAGGTATAGGAAATGTGTTGGTGATGACAATGATGATTAATAATTACATATTTACGCGAAAATTATTAGCACTGGTTTCTGCCCTGCATATCTAGAAATAAAAAAAATGCATAAGAAAAAATTTAAATGAACCCATTATTTTTATGATAAAACAAAAATTGGAGTTAGTCACCCAAAAAAAATATTTGATTAGTTGTGAGAATATTCCCATTTATGTAAATGCAATTAATTTGATCACTGACAAAAAGTGACATCTATATAAAAATACTTGTATAACAAATTTCATTTAAATTGAATGAAGCTTTTGAGAATTATTTTGAAAAAAAGTTATTTTTTGGCAACCTTGCCGCCCTTTTAGTGGTTAAACAAAGATAGAGTATGTTTAATTATTTCTTCCATTTTGACGCTATGAATTCGTGGTACTTCTATGTACATGAAATATTAGGACACCCTGTATATAATGTTAGTAATAGTAAAATTATAACCTACGAATGTTTCATATTAAGAAAAAAGGCAAAATTTAACTATTAAGACAAAAATGTATCAAGTATTTTTAACATGTGACTCACCACTCAAGAGATCAAATACAGAAGCACCAAAGAATTCTCTGAATACGTCTTCTGGATCCCTAAAGGTAAAGAATCCAAAACCACCAAGATCAAAATCATCTTCATCTCTTCTTCGTCTGCTATTTCCATTTAATAGACCTTCTTTACCATACTGATCATACATGCGTTTTTTCTTATCTGCAAAGACATAGAAGATATAAAAATAGATATTTGCTGCAAATTAATGTTATTTTTAAACAGGAAATTTTTTTAAAATCCTGATTTGCTAAATCAGACAACTTGAAAGCATAAATACATTAGCATAATTGATAAATATTGATTTCATATTATTGAAATTATATGACATCTTTGTTTTAATTATAAGCCATACCATACTGCTACCATATTTGTATGACATATGTTACATTGTTTAAAACCGACTATTCAAGAGTAAAAATTTATATTTTCGATGTATGCAACACATTAAAATTATAGTTTTCAATACGGAGTGAAGTATGTATCTATGAGTTTGAGGTGTTTAATTAATTGTCTTATAACAAATGAAAATAAAGTCAAGTTCTAAATATGCAAAATCTAATCAAAAGTGAAAGTTCACAAAGAATAACATACGAGTACATGTACAGTGCTATCCAAAAAGTTTGCACCATATGGGAAAAAAACTTTATGTATAAATTTAATAAATTCGATTAGCAGTTGTATCTGCATGCCGTCAAATCAAAATAGCCCTCATCGAACTTCATAAAACGTTTGTTATATACGAGGGGTAGACGAAAATTGCAAATTGACCCAAGAGTAAAGTACACTTATTTTCACTAGGGGAAAATGTGTCAAAGAAGAGTTATTTCGCTCTAAAAGATTAGCCCAAATATAAAGTTTCAGTTCATTATGTTGAAAAAGCGATTCCTGACAATCTTGCAACTTTCCCTCGTACCTACCTACCATAATTCGAGCAAACACATCCATCACTAAGGTCATGTTTTTTAGTACGCTTCTACAAGAAAAACATTATAATTCCTGAAAACAAGTTGAATCAGGAACTAATAAAGCCATTATAAAAAATGGTGTAGAAAATAAGAACAAATTTGGTGCAAACTTTAATTTATAATTTCAGTGTTAATGATAAATTTATCAAAATGAAATGTTATTCAAAAAAAGTATCGTCTACAATGGTTCACCTAAAAGTAAGGTTGCTTTGTAAAATAACAATTGCTTCCACCTTATAGCAACCACGGTTAATATTTTCTGAACGAATGAACTGTAACTGTTACTTTAAGAAATGGTGTATATGAGGTTTATCATTTTACTTAGTTTTTATATTATTCTTGAATATAAAATAAAGTTTGCACCAAATTTGTTCTTATTTTCTACACCATTTTTTATAACGGCCTTATTAGTTCCTGATTCAACTTGTTTTCAGGAATTATAAATAGAAATAAATAAAAAAATAAAAATTCAGAAATTTAAAAAGGTATTTTAACCTTCGGCCGATTTGTAGTTTTCGTCTGCCCCTCGTATATAACACACGTTTTACGATGAGGTACGATGGGCGCTATTTTGATTTGACGACATGTAGAGACAACAGGCAATCGAAGGAATTTATTAAATTAATCCATAAAGTTCTTTCCCATATAGTGTAAACTTTTCGCATAGCGCTGTATAGTAGCGCCTTCTAGATGGGCTTGTAAGTTTATATTTGTGACCCCGTTGGTAATCCATGACCCAGTCGGATTTCATTTGAAAGTGATTTTTCGAAAAATCATGACAGATTTTTTATTAAAATCTGGCATCATTTTATAATGCAGATTATTTTTTTATACAGGTTTAAAATTTTAATTTTACGATTAGGTACGATGGGCGCTATTTTGATTTGACGACATGTAGAGACAACAGGCAATCGAAGAAATTTATTAAATTTATCCATAAAGTTGTTTCCCATATAGTGTAAACTTTTTGGATAGCGCTGTATAGTAGCCTTCTACATGGGCCTTGTAAGTTTATATTTGTGACCCAGCTGGTAATCCATGACCCAGTCGGATTTCATTTGAAGGTGATTTTTCGAAAAATCATGTCAGAGATTTTTTATTAAAATCTGGCATCATTTTATAATGCAGAATATTTTTTTATACAGGTTTAAAATTTTAATTGTATCTATTAACTTTCTATTTAAAAATCTAGGAGACAGGGTACATAAATGTATGAATATGAAAATATTGTCAATTACTGACTATAATAGTAAATAATAGTCTGCTTATTTATAATTATAACCAGCAGCATCAGTAATTGACCGATTTTTTATTCCAGGTATTATTAACTTTTCATCTAGGCATTTCAATGCCTCCTACACTTTTAAACAAAAAGAGAAAATTAAAATTTTAAGTCTATATAAGAAAACTGTTTTGCATTATAAATTGGTGAAATCTGAGATACTAGAGTTTTAAATGGCATTACTTAACTTAAGTGGCCAGATTTCTAGTAAATATATTTTTAAAATATTATCTGAAAAATATCTTAAAAAACAATAATGGATAATCGTTGTTGGTTCAAACAAGTACCTATGCGAAAAAAAAACACATTGGAATCGTGCTTTCTCGTAGCTATTTTTGAATTTCTAGTGTTGTATTAACTACTCTCACCGTAACAATTGACCTTAAGAAAACTTAACGAAATAAAATACATTTCCGATTATTTACTACTTTTAACCTTAGTTGGCAGCTAGTTTTCTCTTTTGTGTTTAATTTCGCCAGCTGTTACTAAAATAAAAATACATTCAATAATAACATAGTTTTAGTCAAATCATATCTATTTTTCCCGAATATTGCAAAAAACGGTAAAATTCTAATCTAAAAAATATTCCCCTGTAATTCTCCACCTGATGATAACGAAATCATCGACCATCAAATATAAAATCTTGTTTTTGGCAAAATGAGAAGTTTATGTTTGGGTGATTTTTAGTTATCTTTTGATATGTGAAATTTTAAGTGGTTCGTTTTCCTGGAAAATATTAAATATTTTTGATAGAGTCAAAAAATCGTTTATAAACAATATAAACATAAACATCTTACATTTTTGGATTTCTTTTCCAATATAAATTCAATTAATTTGGAATTGTATCGTTTATCGCCTCAATAAATATAAAATTGTGCTAACTTGAATATATGAAATGTATAATTAAATAAAAAGGTTGCTGATAGATAAATTCAATTAATTTGGGATTGTATCGGTTATCGCTTCAATAAATACATATAAAATTGAGTTAACCCGAATATGTATTCTATAATTAAAAAAATAGGTTGCTATCTACAAATACAAAACAAGTTTCCGATACCACCTGATATAATATTCGCAAGAGAGATACTTTTTGCGACTATACAACAATATACAGAGTCTGACACTTACAATTCCCCCCAAGTTTCAATCTCTTTCAATTTTTCTGATATCAAGAATCAATCAAGAAGTTTAATTTGAAAAAAAAAACGGTAATTATAATGAAATTGATTTTTCCGGGCTATTTTCTCTTTAACACGCTGTATGAATATTTAAAATGCAATTAAAAGATGTTTAATTTGATATTTGGGTCAATTAACTTTCCTTCCCAGGTTTATTTGAAAAGCTATACTACAATATATAAACACTTCCTTTAGGCCATTTTTGCTAGATAATAAAAAAAACTTAATAAATATGTTTAACTTGCATAGTAAATTTATTCTATCAAACGAAATAATGAAATAACTATTCATTGCAACAAATAATTGCATCATGACTTATCCCAGCCAAAATTCCATCCAAAACACAAGTACATATCTCAAAAAGCGGATGACTTATTAAAGGTAATGATACATCTATACAACATCAGGCATAAATTATAAATGTAGCCAATATCTGTTAATAGAGTCTAACATCAAGACGATACTTAGGTGTACTGGTGTACTGAAATATGTATGTGCAAAAATTGCATATACGAGGTCTATTCAGGTAATAACTGAACTTTTTGAATTACGCGCTAATGTAGGTATTCAATGATATGCGGTTGGCAGCATTGCGTTGCGCATAACCTCTTCTGCAACAATATGTTCTTGGATTGTTGATATCTCATTTACTTTTCATGAAATTGTTATTTGAGTGCAACGTAAAATTTTGCGTGAAATTGGAGAAAACTTTTCCGGAAACGTTTCATCTTTTGAAACAAGCTTACGGAGATGATGCTCTGTATCGTACGGAATGTTACGAATGGTTTTCACGAAGATGGTCCTCGACCAGGAAGGCCTTCGATTTCAATTGATGACTGAAATATTGAACATGCATCGAGTTGCCGCAAAATTTGTACCTCGTTTGATGATCGAACAGAAAGAAAATCATGTGGACGATTTCGGCAACTCCTTGAACAATCGAATGACGATGAAACATTCATTCAAAAGATCATAAAGGGAAACGAAAGCTAAGTTTACAGATACGACATTGAAACAAAAGTTCAATCATTACAATGGATTGGCAAAGGATCTCCACGCCCCAAGAAAGCACGTCAGTCTCGATCTAATGTCAAAGTCATGGTCACTGTTTTTTTTTCCGATTTTAATGGAATTGCGGATTTTCAATTCTTGCCTTAAGGTGAAACAGTGAACCATGTGTACTATTAAGGCATTTTACAACGGTCACGTGAAAAAATCAGCAAAAAGAGACCAGAGTTGTAGCGACACAACTCATGGTTATTGCACTATGAAAATGCGCCTGCACACTCAGCTTTGTCAATTCGTCAGTTTTGTGCCAAAAATCAGATTACTGTCCTCCCTCACCCTGCGCGTATTTCTTATTTCCGAAATTAAAATTAATGCTGAAAGAACGCCGTCTTCAGACTATTGATGACATCAAAGCAAATTCGTCACAAACTTTAAAGGCCCAGTACTTTGAAAGAGACAAGGGCCAGTAATGTATACAATTACACTATACTTAGAACTAAAGTACCCTGGAAAGGTGGAGCCTAGTATGGTTTACAGATGGCTCCAAAATGACCAGAGGGACGGGTGCAGGAATATATGGACTCAGACCCAGATGGAGTGCAAGCTACAGTCTGGGGGAGTTCCCTACTGTATTCCAAGCAGAAATCTTCGCGATAATGGCGTGTCTGGCAGAGAATGTACGTAGAGGTTATAGACGTAAACTCATATATATATTCTCTGATA